TACTTGGTGGAATTACACTAATTAGAAGGAGTGAGTGTGGAGGAAGGGGGAGACATACCCCTCTCTGTGCAGCCCTTGATCCAGGAATTTGAGGAGGTTTTTCAACCACCTCTAGGGTTGCCACCATCCAGGGAGCAGGAGCATGCCATCACGTTAAGGGAGGGAGTGTCACCTGTTAGTGTACGACCAAACCGTTACCCTCAGTTTCAGAAGGATGAAATATAAAAGTTGATCAGAGAAATGCTGGAAGCAGGGATTATTAGGCCCAGCACTAGCCCGTTCTCTAGTCATGTTCTATTGGTGAAGAAAAAGGATGGAAGCTGGCGCTTCTGTTTAGACTATCGCGCACTCAACAAGGAAACTGTACCTGATAAATTTCCCATACCAGTGATTGATGAGCTTCTGGATGAGTTGAGTGGAACAGTGATTTTCAGCAAGATCGACTTGAAATCAGGATATCACCAGATACGAATGAAGAAAGAAGATGTGCCCAAGACCGCCTTTAGAACTCATGAGGGACACTATGAGTTCCTAGTGATGCCCTTTGGCCTCACCAATGCCCCAGCTACGTTCCAGTCACTCATGAATAAGATCTTCAAACAGTATCTCAGGCGATTCGTGTTGGTATTCTTCGATGACATCTTAGTATATAGCAGAACAGAGGAGGAGCATTGAGGACACTTAAAGAAGGTGTTAGAGGTTCTCCACGAGCACCAGTTGAGGGCTAACTTGAAGAAGTGCTGCTTCGCACGAGCTAGTGTGGAATACTTGGGGCACGTGATATCCAAGGAAGGGGTAGCAGCAGATCAGTCCAAGATTGAGGCCATGCTTAAGTGGCCACTGCCCAAAAATCTAAAGGAGCTGAGGGGATTCCTAGGGCTTACAGGTTACTACAGAAGATTTGTAAAAGGATACAACACTATAGCTTGGCCACTCACTGAGCAGTTGAAGAAAGATGGGTTCTTATGGGGGGAGGCAGCTATGACAGCATTCGAGAAGTTGAAGAAAGCTATGACCATAGTCCCGGTCTTAGCTTTACCAGATTTTACTCAGGTCTTTATAGTGGAGACAGATGCATCCGGATACGGACTAGGAGTAATGCTGATGCAGAGTCACAGGCCCATTGCATATTTCAGTCAGGTGTTGACTGTCAGAGCCAGGCTCAAATCTGTCTATGAGAGGGAGTTGATGGCAATTGTTTTGGCCATCTAAAAGTGGCTGCCCTACTTACTCGGAAGACATTTCATCGTCAGAACCGACCAACGGAGCCTGAAATATTTGTTGGAGCAGCGCATGGTAACAGAGGAGCATCAGAGATAGCTATCCAAACTGCTCAGGTATGATTTTGAGATTCAGTATAGGCCAGGGGTAGAAAATAAGGCAGCAGATGCCTTGTCCAGGTGCATGGGGGAGCTGCAGACAGTGGTTGTGTCAGTCCTAATGATGCTAGATTGGGAAGCCATAAAGGAGGAGAGCGCCATTGGCGTTACCAGGTGCGAGATTTGCCAAAGAAATAAGTATTTAGCTATGTCACCAGGGGGGTTACTGCAGCCATTGGCGTTACCAGGATGAGTCTGGGAGGAGATATCTATGGACTTCATTGATGGGCTACCCCGCTCTGAGGGATTCACTGTGATTTTGGTGGTAGTGGATAGATCGAGCAAATATGCTCACTTTATTCCTCTACGCCATCCATACACTGCGGTGACAGTAGCGGCAGTTTTCATCAGGGAGATAGTCAGATTACACGAAGTGCCCGAGGCAATAGTATCAGACAGGGATAAAGTGTTCCTCAGCCATTTCTGGAAAGAATTGTTCAGACTGCAGGGGACGGTGCTGAAAAGGAGTACTGCTTACCACCCACAGACAGATGGTCAAACAGAAGTGGTCAACCGGAGCCTGGAAACTTATCTGAGATGCTTTGCATCAGAGACACCCAAGCTATGGGCTAAATGGCTATCATGGGCCGATTACTTGTACAACACCTCTTTTCATTCAGCCTCTCAAATGACCCCATTTAAGGTGTTGTACGGAAGGGATCCGCCCCACTTGGTGCATTTTGGGAGTAGCAGCACGCCCGTATCTTCAGTAGAGTATTTGGAGGAGAGGGATAAGACACTAGAAGAGTTAAAAAGACATCTGTTAATGGCTCAACAGATTATGAAGAAACAAGCTGATGGGCATTGGAAGGATATTCAATTTAAAGTGGGCGAGAAAGTATTCTTGAAACTCCGTCCATATCGACAAAAAATGGTCGCCAACCGAAGGAATGAGAAGCTTGCTCCAAGGTACTTTGGGCCTTATGAAGTGTTGGCGAAAATTGGAGCTGTGGCATATCGTTTGAAGCTACCACCGACGGCGACGATCCACCCCGTTTTCCATGTATCCTAGCTGAGGAGAGCCATTGGGGATTATGCTACCAGTACGGAGTTACCAGGGACATTAACTGAGGAGATGGAGATGATACTGGAACCTTTGGAGCTCATGGAGGTTCGTCAGAAAGCAGATGGAGCAACTGAAGTCCTGATCAAATGGAAGAACCTCCCTGACTACGAGGCCACGTGGGAGCCATACGAGCGGATGAAGCGACAGTTTCCTGACTTCCACGTTGAGGACAAGGTGGTTCTTTGGGAGGGCGGTAATGTTAGACCGGTCCTCCTTGGACCGGTCCAGCCGGCCCAGCCCCTTGGGCCGGCTCAGTTTGTATACAGCAGGAGGAGCCGGCGGAAGCCAGGGGGGAGATTTAGGTGAGGTCCACTTGAAATTCAAATTGAATCTTGGAGCCAAAAGGAGGGGAAGCAAGGGTAATTAGGTCCTTTTGTATTAGATTTGAATTGTATGCATTAAGTAGGGAGTAAAGAGAGGATTAGGGTTAGGTCATATTGTGTGATAATTTTCTTGTTCTTTTTTGGTGGCTAGGGCTCTAGATCGAATTCTAGAGATTGGGAGAGTGGATCCTCCTCTCGAATAGAGGATCCTTGTATCTTTGCTATTTTCCTTGCATCCACTAGTAAAATACAAGTCTTTTCTCAAGTATTCTCGCAGATTTTCCAAGATTTACCTCTATTTTTGCTGTTTTCCTGCTGTGAACAGCAATTTGCTTGGAGATTTGCTGTAAAAGTGAATAGGAAATACTTGAAATCAAGTATTTTCTATCAATTTCCTTCTCAGAATTTGAGATATTGACAGAAATACTTGAGATTAACAAGTATTCCCTATCAAATTGGTATCAGATTTTTTTACTAATGGTTCTTAATATCAGTGAAGAATTAGAAGACCAATGCAACAATATCCACTTTAGCTCTTTAACTTACAAAGATCCAAGAAAGCAACATGAAAACTTCTCACTCACAATCCTCAGCAACTCCAACAAAAATCAAATTTTCGTTGAAGCAGGATCTTTTGCCAATAAATCTAGTGCATTGTCACCGGTTGGAATCTTTACAATATTCACAATTTTTTTAGCAACAGCCTCATTGAAAAGAAACTTCACATATTACATTCTAGATTTTTAGAGAAGGACATCACATTTTGATTATCACAAAACATGGGCATAGGAGCAAATAGTGGCTAAATTGGAAATCAACTTTTCGGACCATGTAACTTACTTTTGTATCTTCAAATGCAGCAATGCATTTAGATTCGATTATAGATAAGACTACAACTGACTTCAAATTAGTCTTCTAACTAATCTTATTTCAAACTATCTTAAACACATAACTATAAAAGATCTTTAGGTCATCTCCAACCAAAAAACTCAATTTTCACTTCAAAATATAGTAATACATCAAAATGCAATAACTTGTCTCCAATCAAACTCCATTTTCTAATGCCAAAAAAAGAATATTCCAAGTATATTATTTCCCATATTTTATTTTACATATTAAATATTAATTTTTGAATTTAAAAAAAAAAATAACGGGTGAACAATGTGATGCCAATCTGTTCACCCGCCATCAAATAGCGACATTTTTGCCAATTGGATGGAGCGACGGAAGAACACCATACATGTGTATGGCGTTCAGCTGGAGATGCTCTCAAGAGTATCAAAATAACTTGTAAAATCTAAATATCATATAATTACTTCATCTACATAATCAAAATTTTCATAACTTAATCCCCTCTCTCCCCCCATCATTTGTTTCTTGGCTCCCAATGACGTCATTGCAGAGCCACTTGGAAGTAAGGTTGGGCAATTTCTACCTTCCCTATCCCTGTCTACCATTCACTTTGTACCTTGCCTAACCCTGTCTACCGTTCACTTTGTACCAAAATAGCACTTGGATACCAAAATGATCCAATAATCTCCCCATCATGATGAATTTTTTTATTCTCATCAAGTAAACAACTAAGGCACATTATGATATTATTAGCCAAAAACAAGCACTCTAGACTATCACTTTTGTCTCCACCTATTCCTTCCTAGCTTTGTCAAAATTTCTTATGTTGAGTGCAGTGTGTAAGCATGTTAAATCACAAATACTAAAAAAAACCATGCTTCTTGCTCTTAAGAAAAGGTAATGATTATGATGATCATATTAGAGTTGGCATGTCTTATGAATGTCCATTGTTCAACCATTTCTTTTAGTGTGTCATGTTATTAGTCTCTCTTTCTTCCTACTCTTTCAATACTTATTTTATCTACTCATCTCCTGCAGGTATTTTCTATCCTTCAGTGTGCCTACCTAACCCACTAACTCTATTATCTTCAATAGTTGCTACTCTTATCATCCTTCTAAAGTAATCATTCTTCAATCCATCCTTCTTAAATTTAACATACATTTATCTTAACACTCTCATTTATCATGCTCAACTTAACTATCAATACTAGAATACGCTATGACATAATGGATGATAATCTGTAGTCAATAAATATAGATGTTGATGGCCAAATCAATCGATTAATTGGTTGCCATAATGTATTTTTTAGAAATCACCGGTTCTTATTAACCAACACAACATTTCAAAAAAAAAGAGAGAAAAAAGTATAGGCTGCTTACCAGTGTCATAAATTGCAGAAATGAAAAATGTACTAAATTCCAGGCTTATTCAATGCCATGAACTTGCACTGTTCATTCATGGCAAGCAACTGGGCCTCCTTTTTGTCTAGGAGATTCCTTAATCTAACATTCTCATCCATGAGTTTCTGAACTTCAGCCTCTTTCTGCACCGTTTCATTTTCAAGGCGTGAATTCTTCTCCATAAGCCTGTTTTAAAAAAAAAAAGACATCAATTTGACAGAGATTACCTTCAACAACTTGAGATTTGATTTCAATGAAAAGGCATGAAAGTCAGTTGACAATCTACATTTTCTTGCTGTTTTTATTCAAACAACAACATTTGAGCATTAATATAATGTAAGAGCTGATCCATTACACATCAGCAAAATATAATAATTCACTATTTAGTCAGTAATGTTGGTCATGACAACGCACCATTTAATGAAATATAAAATGGTTTGGTTACATGATTTTTTCTTTGTCCTAAGGATAAAGGCAAGCCTATCCAAATATTTGAAACCCCGTCACTAACATTTGAGCATTAATGAAAGTACAAGTTTATCAAAGATCCATCAGCTAAATATAACAATTAACTATTGAGTGAGTAATGCCTGTGATGTAAAACTAAATGCATAGGTAAATATGCAATGTTTGAAATTAAACGCATTTTCAATTAGAACAACAATAATTAAGTTTACTTCAGCGATTTAAACAAACCTTGAAAACAAGAAGATTGTGATCTAAGCTTAGCCCAAATTACACGATAAGAGTTAGAATCATGAATAATCAATTCCAATCAAGCTTAGCATAGCATGAGAGATTTTCAAAGGAAATTCCTAAATTAACATTTAGACTATTCACTAATTGGGTCTACTCACTCACACTCTTGATATTTGGTTAAACGGATACAAGTTGCACAATCTTTATGATGTCACAATGAAGGGAAACTTAGAAGGGAAAAAACTTGGAGGAGAGTTCACCATTGTCAGGGTTTAGAAGTTAGTCGCCACTGGACGGGAGGGTGTTGTTGTTCGATGGCGGTGACAAGGGAGAAGATGATCCTCTCTACATTGTCTTCAACAGTTTGATCGTCGGCAAAGTCGATGTTGAAGAACGGTGACCGGAGGACGTCGATGGACCCTTGGTCGTTGAATACGAAGCCGTTGTCTTGTTCAGGATACACCATACATGAGTGGACGACATATTAGGAGTTGGGGCACCTTTGGACGGCAAACGTAGTCGTTCCAGACAACAGGGCAGCAAAGGAACTTTGCTGAAATTTCTGGACAGATGTGGGAGACCTTGGAGAGATGGCAATAGCAGAAAATAGGAAGAGATTAGGAGTAATTGAGGTGGAGAGAGGAGGGGAAGGGGCTGGTCATATGGAAGAGGGAAAGAGATTCTAGTTCCATATTTGAGATATTATTTAAGGAAGGGAAGTGGTTCCAAAATCTGAATTTTAAATTCAGATTTAATGGGAGAGGTAATTGGGAAGATTTGAAATTCAAATTCCCAAACAAAGGGGAAAGGGAGTGAGGGGCCGCGGGCTATGAGAGGAGGGAAGATTAGTGAGCTTTAATTGCTTGCCAATTCAAGCAACTTAAGTTGGGAAAGAGGATTTAAGAAGAGCTCTCCATAGCACTTCTCTTGGAACCCCACACCATACATGATTGACCCAAAAAAAAAAGAGAAGCATGCATTACAAAAGATTGATTGATTTAAGAAGGGAGAAGAGGAACAGAACATAGTAGACTTGGTTGAGCCAAATACTCTCAAACCATAATATCACAAAATACTAGGTTTTTTTTACTTTAACATCAGTTCCAATATAAATTATAAAAGATCCCATCGAAGTATCTCCAAGGAAACATCTTTCAATATAGAAAATATCAGCAACAAACAGTTCAATAATAAATTACTTAATAGTCTAAACCTACAATGTTCCAAAGCCTAAAAAAGGAGATTCTTTGTCTAGAATTTGCAAAACGACCATCCAGACAACATATAATCAATCAGACAAACAACTATCTTTTGATTTAGGCTTTGTTTGAGATGGCTTTTTTACTGTTTCTCGAAGTAGTTTTTTAGTACAAAATTTTAATTTTTATACTAAAAAACTACTTCGAGAAGCAGTAAAAAAGCCGTCCCAAACAAAACATTAATTGTTTTAAACAGACGAAATAAAAACCATTCAAAAATCATAAATGTCATACCTATCAAAAACATCCCTCGTTAGCATGTGAGTTTCTGGTGAAAGTGCTTCCTCTCTGGATCGTATGAGATTGTTAACATAGGATTTCAGCATTTCAAAATCTTGCTTCACGCGAGAAAGCTCTTGCTCATTTTCAGCTGCGTGCTGCTTCTGCCTGGATGTTTCTAGCACCATATGTTCAACCTTTTGCCTCATCTCATTAAGCTTCTCATTCGTACAAGCTGCAAAGTTTTCCATCTCTTTAACCTTTGTTGACATTCTCTCAATTTGTAGTGCCTTCCTCCTAAGTTCTGTCAACCCTAAATTTACTTTTTCTTTTTCATTAACAACTTCAGTTTCTGCAATGATGACCCTTTTAACAAGTGACTCCATAATATCTGTGACCATGCCAACTGACTTCAATACTTCTCCAGTATATGCTCGATCATTAGCTTCAAGTGATCCAAGCTTAAAATTACTAGTTAATGAAGCTTCTTTTGCTAGAATTTCAAAAGAAGGATTCAAAACCTTGGAACAATCCAATAAGGCTGCACCATGTACATTGGTAAGCTTTGCTCCATCATGTTTTGTCACACAAGAACACTGGGATAAATGCATAACTGCCATATTTCTAGCCTTAGATTTAAGAAAAGTGAGCAATGTTGAAATAGTTCCAACTTTACACCAAAGAATATCCAGCTCACTCTTTGCATCATCTTCTGAGCACTGAATGCCAACTTTTAACTCCAATAACTTGTCCCGCAGTGCATCAACTTGAGATTGGAAAATCTCCAAGTCCTGCTTCCAAGAAATCTCTTCTCCACATGTCTGCAAATCACATACCATAGCTCCATTCTCCATACTATCCTTACCATGTAACATGAAGGAATACTTTTAGGTGAAGTTCAGTAAGAATTTAATAAATGATTAAAAGGAAGTGCAGCAAATACACGTTATTCATCAAAACCCTTAGAAATTAACCACTAATAAGTACAATTGCAAATGAAAATTGCTGAAAATCAAATTGAACTAGTAAATAAGCATGTGTAACAAGCATGTACTTGAAAAAAAAATTAAAAAAACATAGAAGCCAATAAGCTAGACCAAATTTCCAATGAAAATGTCGACAGTGTTAGAAAGTAGATAAATGGAAGGGGAGATGGGAGCTAAGGTGCATCATAGATCATTTTCTAATAAGTCTATATAGTCATCATATATTAGAATGTTACTCAAACGGCTCAAAATAAAAACAAGTACAAGTTCACTTCTCAGGCATTCCACTATTTCAAAGAGTATCAGCCTTCAACTACTCAAGACCATCATCTAGTCTGTTTACTCTTAGATGAGTAAAGGTATCCGAGATGCCTCCAATTTCATTGTTCAGGAGGTATATTCAAAGGAGTCTGCCCCCCCCAACACATAGGTTCAACTACGTCTTGGAGCGATCCTTCTTTATTTATTTTAAATTCAATAAAAGGGTTAAAGCATCTCCAAGATCTATGGAGATGATTATTCTGATAGATTTGTATGCTAGGGATTATTTAGCCTCTAATATCATTATGAGGACATCTAGCACCTCCTTACTCGTCAATCTTCCTGATCATGAAACTTCACTGCTACCTTCTGGCCATTCAAGGAGTTCAAATAAATATTGGGGTCACCAATTTTTCACCATTTATTTAAGACAAAAAAAGAGCATCTTTGAGAAGTATAGCGAAATAAATTATTGGTGTCATTTTGCGTAGGTGTAAACCTTATATTAATTTTACACCTTGTCAATTCTTGCATATTTTTCATCACAATCATATTATGACGTAGATGATGTAGTGCATCACTTGGGAGAGATGTCCTAGTTAGCCCATGTCTTTTTTTGCACCATAATTGGTTAGCTTATAACATGTAACTTATGGTTGATGTCCTGAGAAACCTTTGCTACTACTCACAGCACAGTAATCAGTTTTCGCCGTGAGCATGGCTTCTAAAGAACACCATAGAACTAGAAAAATTCATATTTTGATTCATAATATTATTTTCAGAATAAGTTTTAAAAATTTTGATCGACCTAAAATCAATTCTCAATCTTTCTCATCTAGTCTTGGAACTAGTAATGATAGTTCTTAGAATGGGAGAGTTCTTACTCAAATAAGTGTCAAAAGAAAGCGAGTTCATGCTTCATGGATGATCAAGACGTCAATATTATTTTAAGAAAATAAATATGGAAAGAACATAACATCTTGCGAGGGTTTAATAAAATGTTCAGCTATCCATGTGTCTGGCATGTCAACATAGATATCCTCAAGTATGCACCTGCGTTATAGCTACCAAAAAGCCATATATTATTTTTAATGAATAACATTCTTGAATAAAGTTATGATGCAGATTAATAAAATGTAATTTATTTACATATTTTCTTATCCCGCGACTCCAATAAGTGAAATGAAATAGAGAAATAACAAACAATAATGCAACTTTGCTTGACTTTACAACACAATTTTTATTTAAGTGATAAGTATTAAGAACATCAAAGAACAAATCTACAAATAATGGTGTATTTTCAAAAATATTTACTGAATTGCAAGCTTAGTTTAGTAGGCTTCGACACCAGAGCTTCAATAACGCTCAAACCTCATCATTCCATTAGATTCATAGATATCTTTGAAACAAGGACATCTCATACGATCACCATAAAAATATCAGCTATAAAGCGTTTATGATTGTAATAAAATGAACTATATTCTGCAAACTTACATTTCCAACTAGGTGACCAAGCTTTAATAATACTGATAAATTTTTTTAAATGCTTATAAGTGTTGTTTGCAAGCATTAGCAATCATCAAACCAAAAAAAAGGAGATAACATCAGCAAAGAAGAAAACTAATAATAAATAAAATTTCAAATCGATGCCATTCTCATAGGTGAAACCCTTATTTATTTATTTATTTATTTGTTACAAACTCTAGCTCAAGATAAATTACATCTCATTTTTCTTAAATACTCATACTCAAAAAGACTAACACCAAAAATAGTTGGGGTAAGGCTATTGCTAAAGACTATACTCAGAGAAACTGATTCCAATTGATAAAAGATGAATTAGGGTTAAGGTTTATTCATGCCAATAATATTTCATGCAAAGTCACCAATTAATTCAACAGTTTACTTTCTTTAAATATTAAAGGATAATATTATAATCAAAATTCAATAGATTACAAAATAATTGAAATAATCCAAAGAATTCAATGAGGAATTAAAACACATATAATCAATGAAGAAAGTGAACTTAACTACCATAAATTAATTCCCAATAAAAGCTTCCAAAAATTAAATTTGTGGCGTGCCGATTTTTTATCATATAAAGAGCACTAAACAAATAATAATCAGTTTAAATATATCAACAAATACCAAAAAATAAAAGACCTTTTGCTATCAAGCTAATCCAATTAGCTCTGCAAATTCAATTTTTGTTGAGCATCTAACATAATTAGTTTTCCCAATAAATAAAGTATAGATAGTATAATTTTCTCTAAAGACACTTCAGGAGATCCATTAGTTTAATGATGAGCGTGATCAACCCAAATAGTCTTAAAAAGATTGGGATTGGTTTTCCCTCTCATCTCCCTCTCTACCAAACTCGGAAACGCCTATTTCCCAACCACTTGGGGTCGCTTTTTTTATGCAAATGTTTGTAAGTTCTTAGATAAAAGTTTCAAAAGTGATCTTCAGTGATATAATATTCAAATCCATCATTCCAATAATTTTATATTACTCTACTGATATTAAATATTAGAAGTGAAACTAAAGGTGACTTCAAGCCTTCAAAATTGAAATAAATTCTAACTTTTATGAAGATGAACTCAAAAAAACAGGAAATAACTACCATTCACTTTCTACCAAACAAATTCTTAAACTTATAATCACTTCCAACAACTTACCTCTAAACAAACTAGAAATTCATCTATCCACCGACATACTCTTGTTAACAAAGACAAACAAGATCATCATAGTTGAAAGTTGGCCATGGACTTAACATTATTTCAATCGCTGAAAGCCAGAAATTCACATGCTTCGTATAGATTCTCCCCTCACCCTCGAAAACACCCAAAATAACTGAATTTTTAAACAACAGATCTTCCTCAGCTGCCACAACCTACCGGCAGAACGCAATTAGGGGAAGGGGAATTTACAACGGATCGTTCGAACAGAAAACAAAGTAAACATAAGCTAGATCCCGCCTATCTATCTGTAGGCATCGAAGGTTAAACAGGGAATATCTTGGCATCGCCAAAAGCATAACTGCTCCAAAAAAAGTTGAAGATTTGACAATAGAACGATCCCAAGGGATCTAAGGAGTTACCTTTAAGGCGATTTGGAGGAGAATGAGATCGACCGTTGCCGGCAACCCCCTTGTCCTCTTATTCTTGTCGGAGATTAGTGGGATCTGGGGTTCCGGCAAGAGGGGAGACTGCAAATCGCCTAAGCGTGGTGCGCGGAACTGTTCGCGGTGTTTTGTAAAAGGGAGGGTTCTGAACAATTTTTTATTTATTTATTTTTCTAAACAATTATATATATTTATATAATATTTAATTTATTAAGTTATATTTAAAAATATCATTAATATTAATTTAATTAAACTATATATATATATAATCATTAATAGATTGGGGATTTAGGTTAAAATTGGAGAAAAAACTTTATTTAAAAATCTAATAGGATTTAGGCAACTCTAAAAATTATTTGATAAGATTTAGTAAAAATTTGTGTAAATATTGAATAAGAGTTTGTTTAGGATAACTGTAGCTTTTTATAAAGGTAACTGTAAAATTATAATAAGGAAAATAATTTTTAAAAAATTATTACGAGTATTATAAATATCTTCATTTAAAAAAAAAAAAGTAAATTAATAACTTTTTATAGCTATGATAAACTAACCGAAAGTCATATTTTGTTGCTTAAGGAGTGGCCATGGATCAATATTATAATTTAAAAGGAAGCAAACTAGCCAAACATAATGACATGTTCCATTGAATGCACTAAATTATATGACTTATTTAGAATTAGCCAAACAGTTTGGCGCATTCTATGGAATTTGTAATTCTATTTGACGCATTCTATTGAATGCACCAAACTCTGACGCATTGCTACATTAATTTCATACTTTAATTTGGCTGATTGGGGTGAATATACTAAATGATTTGGCACATTCTAAAGAACTAGCAAAATCATTTGGCGCATCTAAAGAATGCACCAAATGATTTGGCTAGTTTTGAATGGACCAAATCATTTGATGCGTTCTTTAGAATGTGTCAAATGATTTAGCTAGTTTACTTTTTTATTTAAAATTTTATGGCAGCCTCCATTCAAGACTTTATGATAATCTTTTTTTATGACCTTTATGGCGTGAAATGAACCATAGCTTCCTCTAAAATGATGTTCCTTCCATTACGTTCTTATTCACGAAAAAACTTGAGAGGTGCTAATGAAGTCCAAACAACATTGAAACTTGATTATCTAATCACTTTAGTCATATATATATTCATACTAATCTGATCTGAATGATTACATGCATATTATTTCTGCTTTCATATATTAATTGCACTTGTAGGTTTTGATAATCTGCTGAGTTGTTAGCTCGTTACATTATTTATATGAGTTCAAAAAAAGGTAAAGACTCAATGGAGTGAGGTAGATTCATTTTGTTGGAAGGGTGCGTAGAAATGTCATTGCCCAGAACTATGAGGTACGTTTAGTGACCCATAGGGCAAGTCATCGGACTCAACCGCTTTATCTTTAAATAGAGAAAGAGGTGTTTTCCCTTCTTCAAAGTTCTAAGAAGTACCAAACATTTAACATTAAGGGAAGACTATGAGAAAATTTTCAAATAACTAAAGCTCCTCCCATCCTCACCTCTACAACTACAAAACACAAGACCAACTATTGGATCTCAAAGTCAACATGGACATCTTTAACTTTGTATTAGTCAAAGAGGATAGAGGTAATGGATCGACTATGATATGAGAAAAATATAAAAATACTAAGGGCAGCAAATTGAGGTATCCAATCAAGAAAAAGTTGGCACGGGCACTCTTGATCTTTGCTCAACAGCTCCAACCTTGCTTCCAAGTCCATTCAAGCTAAGTCATCACTGATTAGGGGTGCAAACGAGCCGAGTCGAATTCAGTTTAGACCCTTGTCGAGCTCGGCTTGTTAGTTGGAAAGTGACTCGAGCTCGTCTCACTGTGGACGAGCTCGAGCCGACTCGCGAGCTATGGGTGGAAATTTTTAAATTTAGGCGGAATTTTTAAAAATTAAACGGGATTTTTGAAACTTAGTCAAAATTTAGAAGAAAAATATACGAAATGTTTAACATTTAAATAAAACTTAGATGATTTTTTTTAATTTTTTTATATTTAAATTTAATAAATAAATTAAATTATTTTAAAAATATTAATTTTTATTCAAACCAGTGAGCTCACGAGCCGAGCCGGCTCAAGCTCAAACTCGAGCTTGAGCTCGACTCATGAGATCGATAAACTCGGCTCACGAGCCCATAAATGAGTCGACTCAACTCACTTACACCCCTCTATAATCAATCAGCCTCTCAAAGTCATGCTTAAATAAGTAGTTGAATTGAGCGAGTTCCAAATCTCCTACACATCACAAAATATCAACTGCTCCATCTGATAAGTAGCCTATTGATCATCCATTGTTAGAAAAATGGATCTTATAATATCTTTTCATCATTATAATTGGCAAAAGGTCCTTCCCCTATTTCTCCAAATGGATTGAGACAAGTTTATTAACAATCTTTTGGCTTTTATTTTGTCACCTCAATACCATCTAATTTGGACAAATTTGTATACACTTAAGAGCTAATCTGCCCAATTTATTAATTCTGAATCTATTTTAAACTAAGCACTATCTTATTTTAAGCAAGTTTTCATTCTTCTCATTCAAATTTCTTTGTAGAATAAAAAATAAAAAGACTAACTTCAAATCCTCATTTATTGAACTCAATAGACCATTTTGAATTTTTATTTTATTTTTTAAGAACTAATAAATGATGAAATTCAATTCCAAAATTTAATGTTCATAGAAAAAATAAATTATATCATGAAATGAAAGCCCTTAAATTTACATTGAAAGTAATGCAAATTTCTAATTTACAAATTAGATTAGATGAAATAAAATGTTCAAAATCAAAATTTTCTTAGTGTTTTTAACTCCATAAACAAGAATTTAGATATCACAGATTAATTCCAACTCATATAAAGCATAAATGAAAAACAAAAATGTCAGAATAGTCTAATGCAAATACATCAGGATGAACCTCAAACTCTTTAAAATTAAGCTGAGATTAATGCAATTTAAAATATCATATAAAACACAAATCTCAATGCAAATTTGACGGTTTTGAAGTCTATCATACTACTTGTTGCATAAGGATACCGTGGCACAAATTTTAACGAAAATTACGCATCATGAATTCAAAGATTACTTCGAGAAAAAAAATCCAAAGGAAGAAAAATAGATATAAACTAAGAAATCTCATAATATAGAATGCAAAGTTTAGGCTTCACAAACATATTTTAAGTTCACTTTTAAGCATAGAAACCAAATCAACAGTCTCTCCTCAAAATGTTTACACCTCCTAAGAAACCTATCCTACATAACTTTCCATACTGACAATCACTATCCATAGTTACTTCACAGCTTTCACTTAATAATAATTTTCAAATTTGGGGGAAATTTTGCTCAGACAATGGCAGAATCCATAGATTTGTATCACATAAAATATGAAATGGAAAGAGTTTATATGCCAAAATAAAAGAAATCAGAAACCTCCAATTTGATCAAAGCTATGCAACACTGACTGGCTGGGAAGCAGATTCCTTCTCTGTTTTACATCTGCAAGAAGAATTCCTCATCTATAAATTGTGTTGGGTTTGAATGAACTCAATAAGAACTGAAACAAAAATCAGGTAAGCATATTCTCACCCAATTTTAATCAGATAAGCTTAAAAAATTAACTCATGATATTTAAATTTACAAATAAATTCAAAATAAAAAAAAAATTGCATGATAAAACTTCAATCAACTTTGAACTATTGATCAACGCAGGCATGAGGCGCTTCCTGCGAGCGGTTTCCAAAAAAAAAAAATCTTATTTTCTTCTTCAATTTGAAAGCATCATATAGTATATTGATTTTTTATAATATATATACACATTACAGTGATTAATTGAATCTGAATATAAAAATCAGCGCAAGTAAAATTAAAATTTAGCCCCCCATAAAACATTTCTGACTTCACCACTAGATCAACGATCCTTTTTTCTTTTTTGGGTAACAATCACATAGGTCTCTCAAGTTTAGGTCACAATTCACTTGGTCCTCGGCATTGGATTCATATTTTCACATAGATCGTTTTGTTAACAAAATCATCACTTGAACATCTAAAGATACAAATACCCTCCACTTTTTCCTTAATTTATTTACCCTCTTTTTCTTCTAACGTAGGACCCATTCATTCTCACTCTAATATCAGCTATCTCCAATGGTTTCACCTCCTCTCTTCGCTTCTAATGCCGGCTATCTCCAACAAACTCTAATGATTAAACCTCCTGTGATGATTTCATATACTCAAACTGCTACATTTGAATTGGACTCAACTTCATTGCACAAAAAATCTACCACTGTGACAACCAATCATAAGAACCAAAAGATCCCTCTCTCCAACTCTACCTCTTCCTATTCATCTCCCACTTCTTCTCCCATGTCAACCGGGTGACTGGCCAGCCTCATTAAGAAAATAACCAAATGCAAAAATAGGAGAAAAAAAAATTATGGTTTAAGATATTTTGGTCATAAAAAATTAATCTCATTCAAATTTAAATAAATAAGAAATGCCAAATAACTACATTAATAGATTCTTTAACAGCATAAATAAATGGATCTCTTTGAAGACTGGAAATCAAGTTTAGGAACCATTATGAAATCTTACAAGGAGCTAGGGAGCAAATGAACGGTTTTTTAAGATCATGATTACCTGTTGCAATATGAGCGGGATGCAAAGTTATGATTGTTGCATTTTTGGCACATCCAGTCCCCATCACGCCATTGATTTGCACTGATATAAAGTAATTAATCAAACACAGAATGTAATGATTAACAAGCACAAATGAAGCACAATGAACTATCTTTCAGGAAATAAAGCTAGTATCCATGCTCAACTAGTTCTAGCAAAGAACAAGGATCCCACTTCATGACACCTCGTAGCAATTACTATGATTGAAATCACATTCACAGGAAAAGATCGTTAGATATTCAGACTCAGCGTTAAAAATATACATAGAAAAATATGCTTCGCAAAGCTTTATTGATTATCAAACTATTCTCCATTTTGCAGGACTCATTTGATTAGGTTACCCGCGTGCTCTGCACTAGGATAAGTGCAAACAGAGAAAAGTATGACAAAGGCTTCGTTTGGGACAGCTTTCTTACTGCTTCTTAAAGCAGCTTTTTAGTATCAAAATTAATATTTTTCTACTAGAAAGCTGCTTTAAGAAGCAGAGAGAAAACCATCCCAAACGAATCCAAAATCTCCCACAAGTATTGCTTCATCCGCAACAAGAAAACTGCTTTTCACCAAGAAAAAAAGTAAATTTTTTTCGACTGACTACAACAGTAACAACTAAATCAAATAAAGCCTGAAGTTATTACCTTTTCAGCTTGGGAAAAAGGACAACAACTATCCAAGGTGTAATTGCATGTGCTGACCATATGCATGTAGACTACATGCATCTGCGGGTTTAAAAATTCATTTACTTGCAAGTTTTAAAGGCCTATTCACGGCTTCCTTCCCCTCCCTTCTTCCCATTCCTTTTCCAGTTCTCAACCTCTAATTTTAGTTAACATTCTATCTTTTTAAGGGAGTGCTTCTGCAGAGAAGCATGAAGAGAGTCAAAGTCCACTAGCAAAATGGAAGAGAAAGTACCGAAGGTTGTAAGTTGACAATGACATATTCAAGGTTGGGTATGTGGTTAAAGGCCCTCAAGAGGACATTGAAGGTAGAGGGATGTAATTAACAAATGAGCTTCCTGCCAATGTCATGTCCAAGGAGGGGCCAATGAGAGGTTCGTGTAAACAACCATAACCCTGTTGGCAAAGAAGTTGTCTCCGTTCATTGACTCACTCAAGAACTTGAAAAAAATGGTGCAAGGTTAGTAATTTAGAGAGCAGTTGATGATTACCCGCAATGGAATATGTGTTATAGTTCATGTCATAACAGTTTGTGTCATTGACCTTCTTTATTTCAAGACATAGTTAATGGTTAGTCCTTAGTTATCTTTATTCCAATTATCAATTCCAATGACATCATGATCCGTATTAAGATGAGTAGCGTATTTTGCTAAATGATTAAGTGTTATGCTGACATAACATTAAGGATTAAAGAGCAAGAGAATCTCCTGAAGGTGGGTAATTATGTCCCCTACAGTCTGAACAAATCCCTCCAAAAATGATTGAGGAACACCTCATCTCAGTCAGACACTATAGACTCGGGTATCTCATACAATCTAACCACCTCGATGAATGTCATTACTACTATCATTGTCATGTACGGATGTCGTAGGAAAAAAAATGAGCATACTTACTCAATCCATCCACCACAAGATCAAAATCAATATAAACCCCACAGATATGGGTAGCTCATCTATAAAACTCATGGTGACCTCCTCCAACACTTTGTCCGAAAGAGCTAGAGGTTGCAGTAACCCTCATGGAGCCATGACCATGTGTTTGCTTCTCTAACACACCTCACATATAGCCAGCATCTCCTCCACATCCTTATGCATCCCCTTGCATACAACATTTTTGCCCAACCTCCTATACGTTATCTACACCCCTCAATGACCTCCAACATCAATGGTATCAAAATGACTAACTCTTGTAGCTCCCTCATGCATCTGGACAAGGTGTCAGCCGCATTGTTCTCTAACCAGGGCCTATAATGGATCTCAAAATCACATCCCAATAGCTTCGACAGACACCTCTGATGCTCCTTGGTCATCATCCTCTGCTCTAACAAGTACTTCAATCACCTCTGGTCTGTCTTGACAATGAAATGTCAACCCAAAAAGTAAGGTCGCCACTTCTAAATGGCCAACTCTATGGCTATCAACTCCCTCTCATAAACTGACTTCAACCTTGCCCTGGCTGTTAACACCTGGCTGAAGTAGGTGATGGGCCTGTGAGTCGGCATAAACACCTCCTCCAATTCATACCTTGATGCATCAGCCTCCACCACAATAACCTGGCTAAAGTTTGATAGGACCAAGACCAGTATCATGGTCATGGCCTTCTTCAATTTCTCAAAGGCCTGGACATCTGCCTCTCCCCACATAAAACTAACCTTATTCAGCTGCTCCGTCAGTGACCAAGCTATAGTATTGTATCCCCCCACAAACCTCGTATAGTACCCAATCAACCCTAGGAAAACCCCTCAGCTCCTTCAGAGTCCTAAGTAGAGACCATTTCAATATAGCCTCAATCTCAGCTTGATCAACAGACACCCCCTCCTGAGATATCACGTGCCCCAAGTACTCCACATTGAGCTATGCAAAGCAACACTTCTTCAAGTTGGCCCACAGCTGATGCTCCTATAACACTCCTAGTATCACCCCCAAATGCTCCAAATGCTCCTCATCCGAACAGCCATACACAAAGATGTCATCAAAGAAAATCAGTATAAATCTCCTCATGTATGGTCGAAACATCATGCTCATTAGGAACTAGAATGTAGTAGGGGCATTGGTGAGACCAAAAAGTAACACAAAAAACTCATGTCCCTCATGTGTCCGAAAAGTAATCTTCAGGACATCCTCCTCTCTCATCTTGAGATGATGGTACCCAAACTTCATATCTATCTTTGTGAACACTACTGTCACACATAGATCATCTGATAACTCGTCTATCACTGGAATAGTAAACTTATTTGGCACGGTCAACTTATTCAAGGCCCAGTAGTCCACACAGAATCTCCAACTCTTATCCTTCCTTTTGACCGGTAGGGCCAGACTAAAAAAGAACTCATGCTCGGCCTGATGATCCATACCTCCAACATCTCCCGAATAAGCTTCTTAATCTCATCCTTCTGAATATGATGGTATAGCCATAAGGCCTAACACTGATCGGTAACACCCCCTCTATAATACTCAAAATGCTCAAAATAAATATAAGCATAAACATCCTATAAACGTTAACTTATTTTTATTAAACTCTACTTTTAATTTCGAGTGTTTTGATATATAACAGTATATCTAAAAGCCCAATAAACTATTATCATTAAACGATATTAATTTCAATGTTCATGTAGCTTTTGTTGAGCTAAATCAGCCATTTAAATAGTAATTAATGCATCCTTTTGTAGCCTCCACTTAGCCAAGCATGCATGGGGAGGATGGGGATCATACAGCTGAGATAGTAGTGGAATTTTAGTAGATAGCCTCCAATTGGTTCACGACCTGATTGAAAATTAAATTATGGATAGCCCCACTATCTATCAACACCACTATCTCCATGTTTGCTATCTCTCATTTCACTTTCATTGTGTAATTTGGAGTGAATCCCACCACTGAATTCAAGCAGACCTCTGCCACATCTAAATGCAGCTCGTCCTCCACCACTGCCTCACTCCCACCTCCCCCCTCAGCTTCCTCGTCATCACAAATGATGAGAACATGAAGAGTTCGATCATTAAACCTATGCACTGGGATATACTTATCATCACATATGAAGCATAGCCCCTTCGCCCTCTTCTCATATTGAAGTTTTCCCTGGTTCCCCATCCAAAGGTCCTTCATTTGGGGTCTCTCCCAAGGAATATTTGGTGTCGGCCCCTTAGGTGGCAAACTGCTGCCTTTAGTCCCACTCTCCAACTGCTTTTGATCATCCACTAACTGGGCTAACTCCATAGCCTCTCCTAAATCAAGAGGCCTTATTATTCTAACTTCCGCATGAATCTTTGGTTTGAGACCCTTCATAAAGTCCCCCTACATTACAGTCTCCGACAGTCAGTCCAGTCAGGTGGCAATATACTCAAACCTCTCATGGTACTCCACCACAATCTCTCATGTGTTAGAGCGAAGAACTGCTTATAGAAATCTCCTTCCCAACTGGTTCGAAAATGTTCTAACAGGCAGTCCTTAAACTCCCTCCAACTCCATATGGGTTGCCACATATCTCTCTACTGATACCATGCAAATGTCTTCCCCTCTAAGCACAGGCCAATTGCCATCAATCTCTCCTCCATCAACTCATTGACGGCAAAATATCTTTCCAACATGTAGATCCACCCATGTGCATCATCTCCTTCAAAAATAGGCATCTTCAGCTTCCTCACCCTTGAATCTCCTTTTTTCCCTCTGTTTCCTCCATAATCTCTCATTCCCCAAGTGTCCTGATCATCCCTTGTACGCTCATACCCAAACTCTTCGTCAAAATCTCCACTCCTTTCAAAATTAGCACCTCACCAATCATAATCATCCCCTCTTCTTTCAAATTAAGCCCCCCTTCATTCATACCCAATCCCCTCACGCTTCTCCCCATAACTTCTACCTATCTCCTCCCTAAGAATGGACTCTAGAGGAGGTCTTCTCTCTTCTCCCTTCAAAATCTCTATCTCTTGTTCTTCCCCTCTCATTATCGGATTGGGTTCTCCCCACTCACTTGAATGTCATCTGCCTCCCACGCCTCCGACGATGCCGTTTGGTTTGGCCCTCAAGCAACTTCTCCATCATTTCCTCCATGATGGCAAAGTTCCCATCAATTTTCTCATGGAAGGATGAAATTTAAGTTTTGAAATCTAAAATTTCATATTTAAATTGTTCGATCTTCCCTTTCAACACTTCTACCTTTTTTCCTGCCATAGGAACCAAGATCAAGGTAGGGGTAGACCTAAAAAGACTTGGTTAGAAAATATTAGGAATGACCTTTCTTTATTAGATTTAAACGAGAATTTGACTTTTAATAGGACACAATGGAGAAAAAGGATTCATGTAGCCGACCCCACGTAGTGGGAGAAAGGCTTGATGTTGTTGTTGTTGTTGTTGTAGGAACCAAGATCAAGACTCCAAACAACAAAGACAGCCAAAAAAACAATGGATTTGGTCTTCAAACAGCAAAAATCAGCAAGATCGGAGAGAAAAACGCTGCAGCAATCAGCGAGGAAGTCCTATATCTTAGCCTAGGATATTGCTCTAATACCAATTTGTTACGAAGTGATGCACTTTGCACCAAATCAGCGAACTGTAATGGGAAATTGGGAAGAAAATCACAGCACAAATCTTTTTATTGCACAAAATATGAAAGAAAATAGCAAGATACAATTGGATCTTCAATTGGAAAGAAAGATATGGCTGTCCCAAATCCCTAGCCGCTAGCTAGAGCCCTCATAACCTAAGAAACCCTAATTTCAGCAAACACCGGCATAAAAGGAAAAAACTGAACCCTAGGAAAAATATATTTAAAGCATACAATAGCAAAATCCCAAAACAGCTCCTTGCTTTTCCCTCCTAGCCACACCCTCCTCCAAATTCAAAATATGCTCCCTTGGCCCACTTCAAATGGGTGGAATTCCCCACGCTGCCTAACATATACCCTGGCCGGTCCAAGGTGGATTGGTGGACCGATCAATCAAGTTTCTCTTAAGTGTGTGAAAGAAAAGAGTACGTTTGCAAATAGAAGAATAATAACATAAGATAGGAATTCTAGTAATAATTTGTGTTGATTTGTACTAAGTAAAACTTGTTGAAAAAAAAATATGCATCTTACGGAGTGCTTATAAATAAAACTTTATTGTTTAGCGGCTCTTTTGAAATTAGATGACCGTCATGTTAGAAAATATTCAGAATGTTTAAGAAATGTGATGTAAATTTAAATTCTAGTCCAACCATACGTTATCTCCTTGATATTTCAAACCCCTGGGCCGAGTAGCAATAAATATGACCATAAAACAGCATAATGCATTAGATAGGGATAAATCAAAATACAAAATGTGCATGATAAACAATAGCAATATTAAGAAGGAAAAAGTGGTTTCAAAAAATAGTAAAGACATAAGAAAAAAAAATCAACTAGTTATTATCACCCTTTTCCAAGAAGTGTAGGCATGGCTGACAACTGAGAAGCCACATTTGGCGAATTCCTGCCATAGTATTTCGAATATAATCCATGTGCTTGACTACCATTAGGTCCAGGAAGGTTCTCCAAGTCCGGATAAATATAGTGTGCCTCTCTTTTCTTGCATATCAAAAACAATTAGAAGACAACAGTCATAAAGACTGTCCGTCCACAAAATGGCAGTGAGAGGTGAAACAAAGAGATATTTACCAAAAACTGGTGGTTTATGTCCCCTGCATTTAACCTCTTTTTGTGCCAATCATTAGCAAACTCTTCTGAAGCCAACCGTTTGGTACCTGAAGCTACAATGAAGAAGAAAGAAAATAATTACAATCATATAATTTATACAAGAATATTTATGGATTCATAAACAAGATAAAAATAAATTTAAAAAAAAAAAATCAATTAAAATGGACTGGTTTTAAAAAAAAATATTTTTTTCTGTGCATACAAAAGAATTGAAATGGCGTGCTGATGTCGCAATTGAATTGGTGAACCCAACCTCATGTCAACTATACCAACTACGCTTTCACATGTTGGAAAGGAGGACCTTTTGAGATTGCAAATTATCCATGCAACTTTTATTTGTCAAGAGATCCTTCAGAAAGGGACAAAATTGCATTATAAACTAGACTTTGCCCAATTTGAATTATGGCCGTAAGCTGGTAAGTAAAGTCTTGACATTAAACACTTCATCACCACCAGTACTATGTACATGTCACATTCTACCACAAAACGGTAATAGCAGTTGTGATAAATCTGTTAAAGAATAATCTATATTCCATTATTTTGCGTACAATGAGCATGTGTTGCCATAATAGGACTTCAAAACCCAAAGATGCGGCACTAATGCGGGCAACCTTCACCTTCTTCTCAGGTTTGAGATAACATAAGATGGACGTGAGAATTAAGAGGATCCATGTTGTTGCAATAAACTGTGGAAAGGGAATAATAGGATTGGCAGAATTTGGAAGCAGCCGGATGATGGGGACATCAAATCTTGGAAGGTTTATCAGCTATGATGCACAGACACGGACACGGCGACACGAATACGACACGACACGAACACGGGACACGTCAGTTATTGAAAATATAGGACACGGACAAGGGTTGGACACGGTATTATAGTTTTTATATTTAAAAAATAGTGTATAAAATTAAATAAGTATAATTTTAAAAATAATTTGAAAATAATAAGTCATTTAACTAAAATTTGCGCTTAAAATGATTAGTATTAGGATGTCAAGAGTCCGACGTCGATGCCGTTTATCAGTCACTGAGAGAGGAGATGAAAATACCTTTACTGCCAAAAAGAAATGAAAATGAGAATATTCGATGATCAGACGTTGATTTGGTGTTGTGGATATGAAATAAGAAATTTAGTTTAAATACCGCAAAATACAAGAAATTATATTTAAAAAAATTCATAAAATATTTAAGATACGCGTATCGGACACGCGTGTTCAATTTGTATTTAATATTTTTTTTAATCGGACATGTTTTCAGTGTGTCCGACACGTGTCGGAGGAGTGTCGGACGAGTGTCGTGTCGGATACGGTATCGGACACTGCACGCCTCTTTGAGGAGAAGTATCGGTGCATCATAGTTTATCAGAGGTGTGGCCGTCGATCTACGGCCACGATCGAGTCATTGTACTTTTGATTTATGTCATGAATTTTCTTATTGATGTGTCGTTGTACTTGTTTTATTTTATTTTATTTCCTGTTGTACCCTTCTAGTAAAGGGATGTCGTATGTAAGCCCCAAGAGCACTTTCGTCTTTCTATTTCTTGAGTCTCATGTACTAGGCTATTTATAGCCCTTATTTTGTTTTTTTTTAAGTTAATAGATGATTGACTACAATTTCTTCCTAGCATGAGTTTTGTGAGAGTTTGAGAGAGCGGAGAGAGTTCCCTTGGAGAAGGAGAACGGCGTATCACCCACCAACCTAGATAAGTCGGTTCGTGGTTCTTCTTTGTATCTTTTCTTTTCCCCGAATTCCCTCTATCTCTCACTTCTTCTTCACGATCTTACATCTCCCAAATCAATTCCCCCCATCCACCAAAACACCTCCTACAACTCCACCTAGCCGCCGGCCTCATACCCCCATCCCGTTCAAACCACCGGCCTAACCCGCCCCCTCCCTTATTGCCTACTTTGGTTACTTTCTAATTTTGGATTGCCATAATTTAGTTGGTCATTGAATTCAAATTTTTCCAAATTTGAAATTCAAATTCTTTCCTAAATTATAAAATCTATGTTATGAAAGTTTTCAAATCTTCCATCCATTGGATTTTGAATTAATTAGGATGACTTAATTTATTCTAAATCTAATCACCCAAATTAAGGGAGCATTAAAGCATCCTTAATTTCCTCCCAATCCCCCCCCCCTTTATAGCCGCCGGCCTTGCTTGGCCAAACCACCGGCCCCACTCCACTTTTCATATTTTGGGTTTTCTAATTTATGTTGAATTTATTTGGGATCAATTTGGGAGTCAAATCAATTGAGTTTTAAACTCAAATCCTTACCTCATTCTCCTAAACTATTTAAGGAAAGTTTCTAAATCAATTCTAATTTGATTTTCAAATTAAATTGGATCTAATCAAATCTTTCCTAAACTCTAAAACTAAACTTAGAAACCCAAATCTTTTCCCCCTAAATCCCTCTCCCCTCATCCAAGCCGCCGGCCTCCCCTCTCTAATAGCCCCCTCTCTCTCTCTCTCCAATCTCCCTCTCTCATTAACTCCCCATCGGAATTTAGGAATTGAGATTTCCCCCTTGATTTCCCATCTTCTACTTTCAAAATTGTGAAACTAATTTCAAATTTTGGAAGGGAAATTGCTCCTTGGCTCTCACCCCTTTCAAGTTGAAGAGAAACTTCTTTCTCTCCAACAATATTCAAGAGTGCTAGCAATCCTTGGGAAGACTTCGTCATCTAGCTTTTATGGATAGCTGATCCAGAAACTGAATACGGCCTCTCCTACGACGAGCACGCATCTTACATTCAACCTTCTTCAACGTCAACCGAGGTTCGACCACACGGTGGAAGATTACATCGAAAGAATCTTGGATACCTTGGTGGAAGCCATCGAAGAGCAATTGGAGATCGTCGAGAGGAGGATCGTCATCGATCCTTGACGAAGGTTTCCTACATTCCCCTTTTCTCTTATTTCTTGAATCTAACATTTCTCGTTGTTTGATTGTAGTCACGAAGGCCGACTATCGTCTGCTTCTGCTAAGCTTAATAAACGTGGGATTTTGAGCGTATTCATGTGCTTGTTAATCTCATTATTCGACTAGGGATTTTTATTGAAGCTACTATTTTGGCATGATGTTGTTTTCTAATTTATTTTGAAGTTTCATATCTTTGGTTATGTGATTTAGCCTAAGCGAGCGTGACCCCTCTTTCGTTTTATTCCGTTGTTTTGAATACTTATAGTTTTGTCGCTATTCTCTAATCAAGAGTTGTGCTCGATCTTAATAAATTCATTGCATCTATATGTAGTTCTACATCACCGAAACCTGTCTAATTATTAATAGTGAGATTAAGGTGATGAGGAGGAGACCACATCAAGCTTCACCCAGAAACAGCAGCAGTTGAATATAAGTACAAGAAAACTGAAGAAAAAGGAAAGCAAATTATTCTCAAGACAATCTCAATCTCAATAGAAAATTTTCATCCTAGCAACCAAAAGTCCAACTTTATGAAACTATAAATACAAATTGCCTAACATGCCAAATTACCATAAAATGTAAAAAATTTATAGCTGAAATAATCAAAATACAATAAACATGTGAGAACCGGACCTGGCCGGTTCAACTAAACCGGCCAGTTATTAAACAGAGGGTCGCGGCTCGTGAACAGAACATAAGGGCGGAAATAAACAAAGTTTTGTCTAGGGTTAGAGAGGAGATAATTTGTGTTTGTTGTAGTTTTATTTTGGAGAGCTTCCCGGCATCTAGTGGGAGAGTTGATCTACCTCTTGAATAGTAGATCAATTGAATAGTTCTTTCTTGTTGAAGATATAATCAAAATTCAACCCTATTCTTTGGATTACTGCATTTTTCCTATTGCCTCTACTTGTTGTTTTTACTTCTAAGACGCATCACGATATTCTTCTTGTTGATAAGATTAGAGAGAATAGAAGAAAAACTTATAATTATGTAGGTCAACCATATAGTCTAAAGATTTTTATTTGAGCAGATCTAAAATCGAATACGTTGGGTGCAATTTTAGTAATAATAGATGTAGTGGTATAATTGTGATGCTGAGTAATCAAGCCATTAAAAAGAGTGCTCATTTCAGATGTCTCAGGTCTATTGTTCAAAGTGATGGTGAAATAGATGAGGATATTATTAATAGAATTCACGTTAAATGGTTGAAGTGGAGGAATGTATTGGACCTGTTGTGTGATAGAAAAGTACCCGTGGAGAGACGTGCAGTACTTTATGGCTTAGAATGTTGACCATTAAAAGAGAAGCATAAAATTAAGTTAAGTGTTGCAGAGATGAGGGTGCTCAGATGGATGAGTGGCTTTACACTTAGAGATAAAATCCAAAATGAGTATATACATGAAAATGTTGGAGTAGCACCAATGACAAATAAGATTAGAGAGAGTCGACTTAGATTGTTTGGTCAAAAAGCATTGACCTTCTGATGACCCTGCTAGGAGAGCAGATGTAACAGCCTACATTAAGAAAGATATAAGTAAACCTAAAATAATTATCTAGAAAGTACTAAAAATTACATTTTTATTGGATTTTAAATGAGAATTTAACTCAAAATAAGACATAATGGAGGAAAAATAATTCATGTAGTCGACTCCACATTGTGGGATAAAGGCTTGTTGTTGTTGTAAGCAATGCTATGTTAATCATCCAAAAACATTTTAAACTCCAATGCTAGAATTCATTCCTTCAACAAGAAAAAGATGATGCAAAATAAGAGAATTTTTAATTTGTATACCGCATGATGCTCAAAATTAGAGAAATAGACCTTTTTTTTTATGGATTGGATAAGTATGCCAGAACATTCCCCGATGATCAACATGCCATCAGAATTCAAAGAGACGCATTAGTTTATATAGGCAAAGTTTCATATATCGACCCCTCCTATTCTCTAAATCTTTTTCTCCGGTGATTCTCATTTGCGAGTGAAGTTTATGAGGGAAAGTTCCAATGCAATGTTTACATCTACATCTTCGACAAGCCGATGATTATCATTGAATGTTTGTGATTTATGTTACACATATACACCCTAAACCTAATAACCTCAAAGAGCATTAGATATGAAATTACCAACTTCGGATATTGCTCAAAACTTATTTTAATTTTGATCGACACATGTTCAGCACATGATCAAACATACTTCATAACTTATTTTAGTATTTTTATACTTCAAAATTAAGACCAAACAATAGTCAAAGAAGTTTTGATCATGTGTCAAATAAGATTTGATTTAGGTCAAAATAAGTTTTGAAGAATAGTCAAAGAAGTTTTGATCAAATCTTGAACAAAAGTGTTCAATCATTCATTCCATGAAACTTCAGACAAAGTTCGAATTTATTATTTTTGCACTCATTTGAGTTATCTTGCTATGCATGCAAATGTATGCTCCAGCTACATATAAGTCTAAGGGTGTGATAGAGAGAATTGTTAGGCAATTTAAGTCATTTAAGATTAATAACATTATTATGCTGAATATGAAAGGTAGGCACACAACATTTGAATAAGCAGATGTCTACTCTTATACCTATGGAGAGCCATTACATTTATTTCTATGGATGTGTTTTTTTCCAGTAAATGTGATGTTGATTTTACTAGATGTACTGTTGAACATCAATGCAATGCTTCATGGCTTGAATTCATGATAACATTGAAAATTCACATGCTATTGCTTGATGAAAATAATTTCCATCCTGATGATATTCAAGATCACATTTTATAAAGAAATGATCAGCTTTAGGCACATTATAGTAATCTAGAAGTGTTAGATTCAAGCACTTTATAGCGATAGATATAGCCATATTTGAATATTTTATAGTTATATAGCTACATTATAGCAATTATGATTGTCCTAAACACGTCACTATAAAATAATGTAACTATTTTAATGTAATATAAGGTTTCTTATTAAAATTGAATCTTCTGCTGTATTTGCATTATGATGTCATAGCTGTTGGGATTGCATTCTACAATATTACAATCTGTTGTTTAATAAGTTCTAACTTTATTCAAACCTGCAATTCAACTATTCCAATAAAGTTATCTAATAATTTCTTATTCAAAACATATTCAAACCTTTTGATCGATTAGGGTTTCAGTAATTTTTCAAATAAGAAAGATCCATATTCAATTAGGGTTTGATAAAATATTCAACAAGGGTTCAATAAAATATTCAATCATCAATCGAGTTTTTTATTGCTCATGGTCTCAAACCAAATAGAATTTTGTTTGACCATTGTTCAATCCTCATTCGGATAACTTAAAAGAGTAGCAGACCATAGCAGGGGATAGCAGGGGCATTTGGATCCTCCAGAAATTTTGGACGTATTGATTATCACCATCATCATGTAAGTAATTGATTATCATCATCATCATCAAGATGAAGATAGAGAATTTATTCATCATCAACATCATCCACTTATAGAAATAAAATATCATTAAAAGTGAAAATAATGTGTAATTTTAATCTAATTGAAAGTGGTATAATTTTAAGCAACATGAAAGCAACTATATAGCTTCACTTTCTTTCCAAATGGGCTTGGGCAATTTGTGCAATCATGAAAACATGCATGATCTCTACACCTTCCATGAAGTTTCCAATGCAAGAAACAAGAGCATGAATGGTGATTTAAGTCCAGGACCCAATAGTATTTTATTTTCAATTAATTTGTGAAGGGAATTAATCAAAAGCAATCAAATATGGCAGTTAAGATGCTATGACTTTACAACAAAGTCAACCCCTACCTCTGACGAAATTTTATATTATCTTTCTAATGTATTTTATGATTGAAAGGTTATAAATGTGTGAGTGAGTTGTAATAAAAAATAGACTTAGTTAATTTATGTTTGACTGTTACTTGTATGCAATTTAAAATGTAGAACTTGGTAGTTCTCTCCTACATAAGATTTTGATGAGTCTTCCATCAAAATTAACTTTACAATCTTTCATATTATTCTTACGAATAACATACATCATCATCTCTATTCATGCACTACATATGTTGTCGTGGGCAACCCACCATCCATTTACATCACCAAGTAGGAGGTTTTTCTACTTGGAATGCCGGTTTGAGGAAAGTCTAAGATGGAAGTTATGTATAAGGAAAGAGTGGCAAGTTTTGGTGGCTATAGAGGATATAGTTCACGTGGTGTGCCCAGGAATAGTCAGTTACTAGGTCATAGGCATCAGATGATCGGAATACTAATCAACAGTTAAACTTTGATATTGATGTGAAGACATGAGAGAGAGTGATTGTGTGGTAGAGCATTTATGGGACAGCGATTTATCCATAAAGGAAGTAGCCACATGGCATTTTTGGAATGGTTATATGGGCAATGATAGTTGCAAACTCATCTAGATAAGCATGATATATGATGATACGGCTACGATCGTGCCAATTTATTTTGATCTATTTTTTGTATTTGATTTGTCATTGTTCTTTTTTCCTTTCTACCCTCACTTGAGGGCTTTGTCTTATGTATGCCCTAAGGGCAATAGTGTCTTTGTTATTTTCCTTCATGTGTTTGGCTATTTAAAGCCTCCCTCTTCTCATTAGAGGGTTAATGAATGAATGAATTATAAGAAAATTCCTGCACATGTATTCTTTGGAGAGTTGTGAGAGTTCTAGGAGAGAACTTTGGAGAAATTCCTAGGGAGGGAAATCAAATCACCCACCAACCTTGGAGACGGTCGGGTTCGTGGTTCTTCTTCCTTCACCTTTCTTTCGTTCATTTTCCTTTCCCTTCCTCCTTCCCCATTAAGCCACCAACATCCCCATCCAATCCTCTTTCCTCTTAGCCGCCGAATTCCCTAGCCACACTCCACCTCGACGCCAGCCAAATTCCCCCATCGCAACCACCGGCCCACTTACCGAAAATCCCACCCCACCCGCCGGCCCTTCACCCAACCGAGCCCTTCCCCTTTGGGTTTTCCCTCCATCATTGCTTGCAATTACCCCTTTCCTAATTGGTTTGAATAATCTAGGCAACTCAACTACTTTATAAATTCAATTTTATTTGAATTTGAAAAGTTACCTAAAATACCAATCCTATTTTAGGAAAGTTAACAAATCCCTTCCTGTTTGAGTTTTAAATTAATTTGGGATGAAATATCTCTTCCCAAATTTAATTCCTTAACTCAAGGAAGCATTAAAGGCTTCCATAAAAATTTCCCCAATTCCCCTTGGTGTCGCCGGCCCCTCCAAGCTCCCAGCTCCTTGATGCTTTCCAAAATAAAACCTCTCATGTGGGAAAGAATTAAATACTTTCCTAATTTAGATCATCTTAACTTTGGAAAGAATTCAAATTTCAATTAAATTGAATTTGAAATCCTTTCCTAAAGAGATTGATTTATTTTTGGAAACTCCCAAATCCTCTCAAATCTAAAATTGATTAGAGATTTCTCGCTAATTCTCTTTTCCCTTTTAGCAACCCAAGTTTGGAAGGAATCATAAATTCCCAAATTAACTCCCCATTGCTGCCCCCCCCTTACAGACAACTTGCCTCCCCCCCCCCCCCCCCACCCTTATCTCTCTTTTTTAATAAAAATCCTTCCTTAAATCCTCAAATCAAGCTCTCCCTAACCAATCCCAAATCCAGCCAGCCCCTTCCAAGCTGTCCCTGACGTTTCCCTCCCGTTTGGGAACTTTTGGGTTGCTGTCTACATAAATCAGAAGAATTATCCTGCTGTCCTGCACTATTGGAGTTCTTAAATTAGTATCTAAAAGTTCCCAGCATCATCTAGCAACCATCCAAGGTTTTTCTAAACATTAGAAGTTGCAGTCCAGCTTTTTTCCAAGTGTCAAACTGCTGTCTAGGATCTTCTCAAGACCACCTATCTGCTGTCCAGAGATTCACGCAGCAGTTCGCTGCTGTCCAGCCCCTCTGGGAGCGACCGTTGCTGCCCAGAACTATCCGCAATCGCTGTCCCAGGTTGGCTACTTGTTGTCCAAAGGTTCGAGCGTGGATTTGTTACTGTCCGAGCCGTCAAGACGCCTCCAACTGCTGTCCAAACTTGCGAGAAGGTTGAATCTTAGCAAAGGCTGAACTCTTTCCTTCTCTCTTACCTCCTTCGTTGATCCTCGCTTGTGGTTTTATTTGATTCATGCAAAATCTTGTCAAGTTCCGCTAAAAGCTTAGTATTTCGTAGGAATTGTTTGAGAGATCTTTCATACCACTACTCTTATTGTTAGATTAGGGATTTCTTGTTGAAACCCATCTCGTATGCAACGTCAAGAGTAATTGATTATTATGGGGTTTTTACTTTTCGCGAGTAACATGGCCTAAGCTTGTGTTTACCGCTCTTTGGTTTTATTTCATTGTTTGAATCATCATAAAGCTTTAATTAATTAGTTCTTACTCAATAAGCGTGCAAAATCCTTATCTAAATCAAATTTTCATATATGTCCTGCATCAATATACCCATTGGGTGTATTCGAGGAAAAAATAGTTAAGAACATGCACTAAAAAAGTAAACGGAAAAATACAAAATAGTTATTTGCACCCCAGCGAGTAAGTTATTTGCATTACCCCGATAGAAGTTCGAAATATTTGAGTTTGTTGCCGAAGAGTGCATGCCACTTGCAGGAACTGGTTCATTGCACTGTTTGCACTGCACAATAAATGAGCACTAAGTTTTGGTGTTTTGAAAGGATTGATAAATAACACATTGCAGAGGAAATGGAAATTTATATTGACGAGTATTGATTCAAAAAACAATCTCAATAAATATATTTGGTTCTTTAATTAAATCAATGAAAGATTCCAAAAAAAAAGATTCAGCGAAGGTAAAAAGTGTGCTATATTTGCAGAATATACAAGCTAAAACGAGATGAAACCCACATTAAAGATACCACAAAAAAATTTCAAGGGGTAATCATGAAATATGTTTCCAAATTTGAGAAACTTTAATTCTAACATTACAATTAGTTTATAATTTCTATATTCTCATAATGGTAGGTCTAATTCCTTCTCCGGATTATGCCTTTGGTAATTGTTTGAATTAAAAACACAAACACATCCCAACGGTCAATGATTCAAGCAAGTATGATGAACTAATGAGATACCACATATTTCAACTCTCAATTGATGAAAAAATAAAAACATTATTGACGTTCCATGATATTCAGTTGAATGCAACTGTCACTAATGAATGAACTCCAACAAAGTACAAGAAGTGGCTGTTCCGTTCAACATTTTCTTTGATATAATATTATGTTAATTATGATAAAAGGTTTTGGTTTAATGATATCTCTAAAATTAAGGCAGATTAACTAACATTAGTAGCCAAGAAATTTAAATAGAGAATAAATTGGATGATATTTAAATTACCTCAATTTAGATTGTCTAAAAAATAAATGAATAAATGTCTCAATCAACTTTAATTATTTCAAATAGAATTGCATTTTTTAAGATAACAATAAACCACACATACTATATTTGAAGGAAGCATAATGCTGCTATCTGAACAACAGCATTGGTATTTAGATAACCAGAATTATCTAAATAAAATTGAACAAAACTTAAACTAATTCAAATATAATTTAAAGTTATTCTAACCCTGCTTTCCATCGTTGACATTACACAAAAGATACAATCAATGGAAACACTTTAAAACTTACCACCAAGTATTCTAATGTAATTTATCGATCTTGGAATTCCAATCACAAATACTATTAAATGGAAAGAAAAATTAATGCCAAGAATATTCAACTATCTAAACAAATATACGATCTCTATTGATGTTACAAACTCCAAAATCAATGCCTAGCATTCCATTGTCCACAATTGGAAAATAAAGAATAAGGTCAATAATGGAAACACATGGGACAAGTTTATTGTTTTAAGGAAATGAAAGAGAAGAAATGAAAATGAAACGGATAGGGAATGATAAACAAATTAAATTGAAATTATTTTCCACCAGCACATTTGATTGGGGAGAGTTGAGAAAACATTTTTTTCCTTTCTTCATTGGTGAGAAAAAATGAGAATTTATAATTTTGAAGCATGAGATTTAACTAAATATCTTTTTTTTCCGTATGTTGGCATTTCACCTTGAAGGCTTGAATAGCAGACATAAGGGTAGTGATGATAATGATTTTGTTGACTACATAAGTCATTAATTATCTTATTCACAACCATATGAAAAATCTGAATTTAAAAATCTTTTGGAAATTTTATTGTATGAAATGTTATTTTGAAAAATATTTAACTAAATATCATTTTTAGAACTTTTATGTGATATTTATATTTATTATTATTTTCTTTAATTTGAGCATCACCTAATGGTTTTCACCTCGATATTTTTGTCCATAGTCTTGAAAAAACCTCACAATAAAGTTTGATTATTTTATTAGGTTGTACCAAATGCTAAGTGTAAGAAGTATCATTATGACTAACTCTAGTGTGAGGCCTACAATGAACAGATAAATGAAAGTAGATAGTTTATCTGGGTATATATGGCTAACCCAAAATGGATTCCATTTCCATGTTTACGTCTAAGTGGCATATTTGGATTAGATAAAGTTGCATTCTTTTCATGATATTTTTTTTTTATAAATTGTACAACAATTAAGGAGAGGAATTTTTTTCAAAGTTACTCATGCCCTAAAAATTGCGATCAAATCCTTCCATAACCGTGAAGATTTGACTTTCTCCATCTGCAATTTCACCAAAATCTCCAACTCAACATTTCGCTTATGAACAGATAAATATGAATTAGTGAGTTGTTTTCACGGCACTTAAGACTAGACAAGTGAGTTCTCCAAAACACCTTTATTTGGAAAATTGATAACTCGCAATTTCAAATACTAAACTGAGTAGCCACCGTCTCTTCCTCAAAATTTCCCTCTAAATTAAGGTCAACTTTCTCAACATATTCAACAAAGGCTTTTTAGACAAATTTGAGTCTACTAAACAAATATTTAGTCACTCGAATTATTGTTCCAACTCCTCTTCTAGCTTGTAACCTTATTTTGGCTTCGGACAAAACTTGGAGTGATCTTTACTATTTTTACCCATTGCCACTTATATTCATTGCTACTCCAACATGGGTCTCACATTTAAATCAGGAGTATGATATGTAAATCCTCCAAATTTGACGCCTAAAGATTGGCCAGACGGGTATTAGATAATCAAACAAAAATTGTGAGCGAGTTATAACATATATGAATGAAAACGTTCATAACATACTGATGGACCGGGTGAACCGGTCCCGCCTGGACCCGTGCGGGTCTACAGGCGGAAGAAGGTTTCTCATTTGGTTTTGGTGGAGAAATTTCTCTATTTTGGAGGGGAAATTAGGGCAAACCCTAATTTGTGAAACCTAAGGCGTATCACATACACGACAACAATTGTGAAAGTGAAATGGTCGTCTCAACAAGTAACTATGAAATATAATTCGTGAAATCCAATTCCCTTGTCTACAATTTTAGAACAAACTAGAATGCCTCATGGTCAAGGCATAGAGTGGTTATTCTCAAAGTAGTGATCTTGCTCAGACTAGAGCTAATAGTCCGTCTTCCAGTTTACCTCACAAAGACAAACTTTTTTTTTCAATATTTAATCTTAATCCTCAATTCTTTAAACTTTAAAAGTCTAGGTAAAAAAGAATAAGATTGTCCTTGAAAGATTTTATTTTTTAAATATAACACGTAAGATTGATGTCCCACCTGACCAACCGTTCTCACAGATAAAAGAAAAATAAAATTATATTTGTAAATGAGGTCAAAATAAATTGATCTAGTACCAGTCCATAATATTTGAAGATAGATGACAATTCTGGGAGAGGTGGAAGTTGAGCCCAAGATGAAAGTATGAAACTAACCGTGATAGAAGTAGAGCTCATTGCCTTTCATTATATTAGGAAATTCATCCTCCTTTGGAGCTCGAATCCTAAAATCTCCATCACATCCAAGCTCTTCTTGCACTAACTTGACGTTGGCCATATCAATCAAGGAAGAAGACCTAAGTCAATTTTTATGAAATTCTTCACACAACTAAGAAAGGTCTTTGACACTGCAGCCATCTAAAGAAGTTGCCAGAAGAAGCAGATGAGGAAGAGAGGAAGAAGAGGAAGGAAAGAGACTAGGAAGGAAAGAGAATAAGAGTATGAAGAAGCAGAAAAGTGGATAAAGAAGAAGAAGATCCAAGGAAAAAAATAAATCATTTTAGTTGAATTATTAAGAAGCTTGTGAAGATGAAGTGTCGTGTAATCTGGTTACATGGATCAAATCGCGAGATATTTTTGGTTTTTTATGAATTTGGAATGAAAGCTAATAGTGAAATCAATAGATAATCGAATGAATAAAACACATGTTATTGTTCAAGGATTTAAAAATCACTCTCATTTATTTGTGGATGCTAGGAGAGCCTGATCAAATCATTGATTTAGTAGGAAAATGCTTTTTTTAAATTCTCTTGTTCATTTTTCAAAAATGTCTTCCAAAGATACAAGAGAATCAGGGGACTAAATATACATAGGCTCATAACAAACTCGATAGATTCATAGTGAACTTGCCAAGCTCGTGATCTAGCAAAGGCATATCATGCCCAAGGTCTCACTAGGGCCACTGTCCTACAGCAGCACATATCATGATTTTGTAATTAATGGGTTCCTTTAGCATAATTATTCTTTGTGTTCTTCAAAAACAGTCTCATGAATATGTTAATTTGAAGAAAAAAATTTGATATTGAAGACTGCGGAGCACGTTTTACTGAATTTGTCAATTGGAAATGTAGGTTTTGCATCTAAGTGGTCTTGCATGCTTCTTTGAAGTGTCCTTTAGATAAAATTGTCATTGTCTTATATGGGCTTCACCTTTAATCAAAGCTTTTTTGTTTTAACAGAGGTAACCATCTAGATTTGCCGATTGGGATTCTCGTGTAATGCGGATCTTGTAGTAAAGGGAGAGTCAATTTCTGATTTTCTGGGGCTAAATGTTTTATCTTTTGGCACTAAAGATGTTGGCATGACACTTTGAGCGGGAAAAGAAATTATGGAATGTAAAAATTTTAGAATGATAAGTTGGATCTTCAAATTATGAGAGTAAAGTAATCAAAATCATAAGATCATTGTCAAATAAAATCCCATGAAGAGACTTTGATTGCAAATCCACCTTCGCATGTGATAAATGCCAAGCGTGAATCACGAATTCCTCAATATATAGAATAAGTTTGAATATTGAATTCATTTTATTTTGAAAACAAATGGATATCGACTTCCTAAAGTAATGAGGTGTGAGTAATTACTCCCAAAGGCCGAATTTCAATTGCTTGGTCTAATGCAATAAATAATCACCAAGTTGTTAGATTGCCACTAAGAAAAATTCCCTCTTCTCTCCTTTTTTTTAAATGGCCTTCAGTTTGATGTAAAAACCAACAAAAAAACTTGTGATGCAAAATACTTAATATAAGAGGATTTCTCAGTACATGTTATTACAAGTTATTTAAAAAAAAAAATGCAAAACACTTCCCAAAAGATGATTTTATACTTACGGTATACTTCTTGCAATTTGGATGACTCAAATCATGGCGACCTCATCTTATTGATCTTTTTTTGCTTTAATTGATCTTTCCTTTAAGGAAACTACGAATTCTTTTAATTTCCTGGCTTTGATGAGCTCTCAATTAGGCTAAGAAAGTTCCTAATCCTCCATTTCATGGCTAAGGTCTTTATGAAAGGCATAATATTTCTTTAAGTCCTGAACGTACAACTGTGAATATAGTGGGAGGAGGACAATGGAAGTATTTTTTTGTCCTTGATCATTCACCTACTCAATATAGGATAATCATAAAGAGGCATGAGTGACATTCAACCATTGATAAATTTCTCCTTGATAATAAGCGTGTTGACGAATTCCCACATTCAACTTGCCTTTTAAATCAACGGCACAATGGCCGATATTGGTAAATGGCAAGGAAATCTTTGGTTAACCAAATTGAATTACCTCTATTTCTAATCGTGATGTTGGTGTCACTATGAGCTCTCATATTCTACATGTCCAAGGTTGAGGTTAGTACTCTTGCACTTGCTGGTTATTTTAGAACTATTGCGTCTAAAGATCTTTCTAACATCTCCACCCTCTGAGTGGTTATGGGAGTGTTCTCCAAAGCTCATTAAATCATCCTTGTGATGCTCTCTTCCATCCCTACGAACTGCATATTTATAATAAAGTCTTGGTTCTCTATGTTGACTGACGCTTCTCTATATAACTGTTCTGCCTCGAGTTGTACTTGTTTTCTAAATCTTTGCACTGATCCATGCCCACCACACTTTTCAAGCTATTGGATACAGATTTATAATGGGCAATACACAAACTTTATTAGAAAACTCTCAAGGCACGCATAACTAAAAAATACCAAAAAAAGAGAGAAAATCTAGAGAAAGAAAAAAAAAGAAAGGCTCTGAGATTTCACCAAACTAGCAAAAAAATACAAGCTCAAGCATAAAAGGCCTTGTGCCCCCAAAAATTTACTTTTGAACGCTTATTTATCAATTCGGGTAAGAATCTTGACGCTACAAGAAAAACTGTGCAAGAATAAGAGAATATATCCCAATAAATGAAGCATATAGCTCAAAAGACTTGTAGCTAAAAAAGAATAAAAATAAATAGTGATAATTAACACATTAACAATCACTACTTGAAGTTCCCATTTTGACAGTTAAAGTCGCCAACTGGTCGGGTGAAAACACATACTTGATAGGTGAAGTCATGGATTGGCGCAGTGTGGTTGAGTAGCTTTTGGCTTAGGTGAGTAGGCTCGGTGGGGCCTTAGGCAGGTTATGCTTTGGTGAGATCATGAGCATTGCAAGTTCACTATGAACCTAGCGAGTTCTCAATGAGCCGGGAAAATTCATTGTCTTCATTCCTCACATTATGTTGACTTGTTTTGACCTAATTCGACTTGATTTGGCTTGAAACACATGCTCAAAGTATTTGAGACGTACAATTAGAAGGGTGCCACATTATGTTTAAACATTCAAAACTAAATATCGCGAAAGTAAGCTAACCATTTTCTAGGAAAACTATCTTTAGCAAAATGATTAAGGACTAAACAACAATGAAAGATTATTTCCTAAACCACAAATAGTGAAAAAATAACTATTAGATTAAAACTAAACAAGGAGAACTAGGGAAAATGTCATGTAAAAAGAGCGCGTGGTTACATAAGCATAAAAGAACAAACTAGAACTTGAACATGTTGGATAGGATTTATAAATTCAAACCTGTGTACGGGAAGAATAGTTATGAAATCCACAATTGCATAACCAATCACCATCACGCCACCCTTTTGGAACCCCAAGCAACTGATTAGAGCTATCCGCATATGAAATATCCCTACTGTTGCTACCAGGAAACATCGTATAACCCCAACCTAACCCCATTGGAAAGGACTGCTGAAAAGCTGAATTTCCAGGAATCCCGAAGTTCATCTTTGATCCAAGAAGATCTTGCATCCTAGCAAAATAATGCGGATGAGTTGGAAAATGTGCTCCGCGCATTGCAGTCTCCTCCTTTGGTTGGCCACACTTTTTGCATATTTCTCGAGAAGCATAATTGTTGTTACTGCACCCTATTGATTCCATTACCACACAAGTCATCCCACAGATGCATCCAGAATGAAGAATATCCACAGCAGACATGCACTAAACAAAATTAGAAAATACAATCCACAACTTGCAAGTCAATTACACCAAACTATACTTGGAATGGAACTCAAAATTTAAAAAACCGCATGTCATGAAATATAACAATCTAGACCTTTTCATTTTTCAAAAGTTAACAAACCAATATATTTATTACTCAGGACAAGTCACAGAAAGAGCTGATTAGGGCATCTCCAACCGAAAACTTCATTTTTCACGGCAAAGTAACGCAAAACTCCAAAATGGCGCGGTGATGCTCCAATCGAACGCCATTTTAGGTGTTTTTGAGAAGGTAACGATCGCTCTCCCTTTCGCACGTTTTTCCGTTGAGAGCATAAAATGGCGTGAGACCATTAAAAAGAAAATTTTCGCGTTCGGTTGGAGCGACGGAACGACTCCATACACTCGTTTAGCGTTCGGTTGGAGATGCCCTTACTACGTTTCTATTAGAATTTAGAAACCATGGATTATCAAAATTTTAGAGCATAATAAACTCTAATAAATGTAATATTTTACTCATACAAAACATAATAAACAAAAGCTACACTGTGATAACATAATTTCTGCAAGAAGAAACAATTAATCCTAATGTTGCTGGCATTCATTCATGCTGCAAAGAACAACAAAAATGGTCTGAGACCATTAAAAAGACAGGTTGCTACTATTTCATAGAGCACAGAATTGTTGACAAAATGTTATAAATAAGCTAAAAAAAGGTGGACACCTAACCTACTGCAATATGTCATAAAACCGGAGACCACCATAGGACATTGTTAATGGTAGTAATACAAGAAATATGAAAGTAGAGTGAACTATTTCCAATTTGAAAACAGAATATGTTCCTGATTCATCGAATGCGTGAACAGAAAAAGTATCAACAGTTGCTGAAAGGAAGAATTACCTCTGCAAGAAGAAGTTTAAACATAGTAACTATTAACAACAGTAACTCTAACTAACTAACCTAACAACGCCAGGGTTTCCCCACTTAAACGCACTGTAATATAACCACCAAACAAGAACAGATCGTTACGCGCACACCTCTATAAGTCAAAACATCACGGGAAAAATTACAAATCAAGCAAAAAACTAAAGGAACAAAAAATACAATAAGCTAGAATCCAAAACCCTACTCCGCCTCAAACCAACTGAAATTCCAACATAAGAGAACCAGTAAATTTTTCAAAAACCAAGGAGAAGAGGCAAAAGAACTGAATAGAAGAACGGAATAAGAAGCCAAGAAAAGAAAAAAAAAAACGAACCGGAGCAGATCCAATCTCCAATGCGAGGAAGCCATTTGGAGTCGGCCGGTGTCTTGGTATCAACCAGAAGACGCGGCTTCTTGCACCGATTGCAGAAGGATCGGAAAGCGTAGTTCCGATTGCCGCAACTCCCACACTCCCAGTCACCCTCCCTCCCCTCTTCCATAGTCCACTGCTACCAAATAGCTCCGCCGCCGCAACCGCAACAATGATTCAGTCGCCTTCCCTTCCCACTCTGGTCCTGAAGTCTTCAGCCTGCAAGCCAACGCCGCTCCGCCTCTTCCCTAGCTATCGCGGCGATATGGGAGAAACGGGACAAATTATCTCGGCGTCATATAGATTCCAAGCGCAATGGGAGGATTCGGTGGGCATATTCTCAACGGAAAATTAATAATGATAATATTTATTATTATTATTGGTGAAAAATTAAAATTTTTTTACTATATATTATCCCATAATCCAAGAATTGTCCCCATGCAATTTTTTGAGAAAAATATGTTCAAAAAAATTAATTCAAATTAAATTTTTTATAATAAGAAATAATTTTTTTTTGTTTACAAACTATTGTTTAAAATATAGCCATTGAATTTTATTTTTTTTTCAAACTCAAACTCACTTGCAACTCTAATTCTAACATGATTTAAAGTCATGTTCAGACATCGTGCTGAGTTTGCAATATTGTGGAAGGCTAACAGCGGGGCATTGATGAGCGTGTGAAAAGAAGAGGAGTTTATAAATGTTTTTTTTTTTTTTGGTGGGTGGTGGGCGGAGGGAGCAAAGAATCGACGATATCCAATCGCACCTAAGGAAAAGAGGAGTTTGTCAAGGTTTTGGGAATGAGGCTTTTGATGTGATATGACGACATGAAAGGAGAAGAGGAGTTCATGAGGGTTTAGGCATGCGGCATAAACGGAATCCCATCAATATATGAAAAAGCAAAAATTCTGAGGCCCAGACTTCTGTCGGACCACCTCCTAATACCCAAACTTCTATCAAGTCACCACTTGAGGCCCGGACTTCTGTCGAACCACCACCTGCTGCCCGTGAGGCCCGGACTTCTACCAGAACAACATCTGACACCCAGAGTTATACTAGAATACCACCCTACTACTACGGTTTTTCTGACCCCAGCCACTGTCACCTATTACGGTCCTTCCGACCTTCATCGCCAAAGAACGATCTTTTTGACCCCAGTCTTCTACCGACTACGGTCCTTCCGACCTCCCTCGCAATCTTTCTGACCCGTCTCCTACCGAATATGATCCTTCCGACCTCCGTCGCCTACTACGGCCTTTCCGGCCTCTATCTTATCGACTATGGTTCTGTCGACCAAACAAACATATGCATGTTGATTATTGTAACTCCCACCATGTAATGCGCTCTATATAATGTACATTTGTAACAGCAAGTCAAGGCCCTCTTCCAAGGAAAGGCCTCATTTGTAATCAAATGCAAATACTAGTGGATTCATTCAAACTAGGTCAAGCCCCAGTTTTCCCCTTTTAAGGGGTTTCCACATAAAAACTTTGGTGTCTCTTATGAACGCTACACCCTCTCTCTTATATGCTTGTGTACTGAATTTTCGTACAACGTTAAGATATTACACTACATATTTCTCTACCGCCACGAATATTATAGAACGCGGCAAATGTATATGAGTATATTCTGTAATGTTAAGCTGCTTATAAATGTATGATATATTTAATATAATGTCCATAGTATATTAATACATCATGCATCAAAAAAGTCCTAATTTAACTTATATTTAATTTTATTATTTAAGATTACGTCTTTTAAAATAAGTAATTAATTTATGATATACATATATAAATTAATTCATGATATTAAGTAATTAATTTATGATGATGTAGTTTCTAATTTTGGCATAAACACTTTTAAATAAAAATGATGAATTATATAAAATATACTTAAATTTAATTTATTATTTCATGCCAATAATAATATGCATTATTTTACATGTGGAATTAAATATATTATGAATAAAAATTGTTAAAACAATTGAAATATATGTATATAATAAAATTATGGTTAAATAAATGATCCATGGTTGATTAGATCCAAATATTATCTATATGGGAGAGGAAACTAATATGTTTATTTAAGAAATTGAAAGAGAAAATTCAAAAAATTCTCTATATGGTGTTAAGGGGAATGAATTATTATAAATACAAGTTTGGGTAATGTGCATCAATGATATAAGATGAATATAATGCTTATGGGTAGTATGATGGTGGTCTTAGTCATAATGAAGAAGACTGTCTTTGACTCTTTGTAACTATAGTTATAATAATTAAATTGTATTATATGAAAGATAATCAATTTATTATTACTAAATTATATGAATATTACAATATAGTTAAAAATATTAGTGCATTAAAATTACACTTCAACGAGCGGCATCAGCAATCTATATTCTTGGTGTCATTCTGAATTATTAGACACATCAAAATAAACTAACATAACAAACATATTACTTAACATCAAGGATGACTTATGAAAATATAACTCATTATCCCATCCTAAGGAGTCAAGGAATAACAAATTCAAAATAGCACGGCTTTGATACCACTCTGTCACACCCCGGGTCCGGAAGGCGGTGCACCTCGGCAACATGGGACACATTAAGGGATAAAAAAATATGTTTCGTGTTCACTAAGAGAACATGCATACACAAACAATACAACCATGCATCAGAGCAAACAGATGAAGTGAAATAAAACCAATTCATTAATAGAACTTAAATTAACCAATACATCGAAATGACGTAGTTCTGATACAAGCCAACATGAAAATAAATATAGCAAAAACAGGAAAGAAAACTACCAAACCCACATAAAATATAAATATAATAAACTACTACAAAATAATAAATACCAAATAACAATTTATTGTTGATAACTCTGCTCCTGATGTGGCGGTACACCAAACACGCCTGCAGAACCTGTTGAAAAATACAACATGCGAGTTTGATAAATCAAACTCAACAAGTAACTACTATCTATCAAAGCATAAACGACAAAGGAGTGGGGCATGCAACATGGACAACCAAAGGGTAAAAGTAACAACCTAAAGAGAAGAGTAGTAATTTATAATCCCAATTCAAAATAGAAAATATCCATGACATATGTCGTATTTCCAACAACATAAATCTAATATACTAGTGACATTAATGTATGCGATAGTTACTATCAATGCAATTATTTTAAATGTACAAAATGAAATCAAATAGGTATCGTTATACCTCAAAATGACCTACAATCATTTATTAATTCCAATTCATATTTGCTTGTAATCTCTTACACTCAAATATATATGTATTGTTGATTTATCATATACCCATCACCAGAAAGGTAAACACCAAGCCAAGAAAATTCAAAGATTTCTTATAGAGTTGTCACTCTGGGGCCCGTAGACCCCATCTACACAAAATCCAATAAGATTATATTGACATACACATAATCATATAGTGTAAGTGCTGTTACAAATAATCAACATGTGTCATGTAATTTAACATAACAATTACCGTATATAAAATCAACATAATTTATAGCAGGATTATTATGTATTGCAATGAATAAAATTGATATGATTTGCCAAGAAGATATTTATTGCATTCAACTAACAGCATGCATGAAGATACAAAATTATATACATGAAGTTATACATCAATAAATCACAAAATATTCATTTTTTTAATGAAACTTGCTAATTTATTATGATCAACAATGAAGATTTACTACATGATGATTTCAATGTGAGCTATAAATAAGATCCCTTACATGCACAATACTAATAAATATTGGAATTAGAACTAACAACTTAAATAATTATAAAAGAAATATAATACAAATATCATGAATTACGCCCTTAACAAAGAAGGGTACACTTACACCAAAGTAAACAACAATTACTTACATTTTAGGCGAGCAATACAAAACTCCAAGCCTATTTGATATTGAATTGACAAGGCGAAGACAATGACTCCAAAAGTCCTATAAGAAGGATCCTAATTTAATAATTAAGATAAAACTAAAAGGAGCACATGCTTGAAACATAAAGCTCATACAAATTGAGCTTAAATTGAATATCATTAGTAAGCCTAAATGATTCAGACCAAGAATGATTAATTTAAGAGAATCCAAAATAACTTAAATTCTATAATTTATTAATTAAATTCTAATCTAGAATGAGAGTCTACAATCATGAATAAGGGACACCTAAAAATATACGAAACTAGGAATTATATTCAATTAAAATCTAAAGCCACCAATAAAATTTATAAACCCAAACAATTGCAAGTAAAAAAAAAAACTTACTTTTGATGAATGATCTCGGCCAACAGAAAAAGATGGAAGAAGACACAACCTTGATCTAAGAGAAAGAAGGAAAACTCCACCTTGCTCAAAGAGGTATACAATGGATTAGACTTATAACAAATCTAAATAAATTATTATTTAAAGATTATTTGTCAAATTCTACCTTATAGATTTTTAAGAGATTACATTACTATTTCTTAGTCAAATATTTATAAAATTATTCCAATATCAATAATTTCAAAATATATTTTAATAGAAATATAAGTACAACATATTAATTAAACATATAAATTTGTAAATATACTCAAAGTAAACAAACACTCGAGAGTATTTTGGTGGTTCCTGAACTGACTGCAAATGTGAATATTATAGCTTCTCATTATCTTTTTTTTTTAGGGGAAACCCACGGTGGGGCCTACGCGTTAATATAATGGAGAAATTACAAGGTCCTTAAAGGGACCTCGAGCTTGACTAATGCTCATAAGAGCTACAATCCAAAATATATATATATAAGCTCAAGGTCCCTACTAATCAAAAATACAATGAAACCTAGGGAGAATCTACGGTGCTCAAGAATGAACAACCAAAAAATGAGGAGCCATATCAAAACAGCAATCAGCATAAGCTCCTAGAACCAAAAACCACTGCAACACTGAAGAACACCTGCAAAAAAGAAGCAAAAGCAACCAAGAAAGAAAAAGAACAAGGGAGGGCTCATACCAGAAAAAAGAGAATCCCCCATAAAAAAGAAAGATTGATCTCTCTGCAAAAGAACAACAAAATGTTAGTAAAGTAAAAAACCCCAAGTAAATTCTCAATATAAACCACCTTATACCAATCAATCTTATCACCACCAGACGGAAAGAACCCCCCAAAAAGGAGAAGGTCCCCCCCATCGCAGATTACCACAAATGACGAAAACCTCACAAGAAGTCCCAGGAGCAGGAACCTCAGATAACACACCAGCTGAATAACAAGACAAAGAATTCAAACTCCAGCTCG